ATTTGCTCTCCATTGAATCTACTGAAGTGGTTAATATGCATATTTGCGCCTTTAACCAAAATTGTCTCATTTGTTACTGTGCTAGACACTATGAGATGGTTTTTTTTTTTTAAGTATAAGACAATCCTGACCCTCCGGGAAATTAGTCTAGGAGACAAGGTAAGTCATGACCACGTTAAAATTCAAATACAAAATAGTTATCATGGGACAAGAGTCAGATAATTGGGCTGCCTCTGAACCTACCCCTATGACAGCCGTGTGAAGTGGGGCCAATTGTTTCACTTCTTTGAGTCTCATTTTCTTCATGGTTATAATAGGGATGATGACAACACATAGCTCTGAAGTGACTGACAGGATTCAATTAAACTACACATGTGGAGTAATGTTGCTGATGACCCACCCCGCACCCGCATCCCCGTGGCTCACGTCCATCTCACCTGCAGCTGTGGTGGGCAGGTGGCACAGGTAAGAGCTTCCCCATGTTATGCACTGAATCGTGTTCCCTCAAAATTCATATGTTTGAGCCCTACCCCCACTGTGACTGTATTTGGAAAAAAGGGCTTCTAAAGAGGTAATTCAGGTTAATGAGGTCATAAGGGTTGGATCCAGTAGGACTGGTGTCCTTATAAGAAAAGGGAGAGACACCAGAGTTGTATGTGCACAGAGGAAAAGCCATGGGGGACACACAGAGAGAAGGCGAGCATCTACAAGCCAAGGACAGAGGCATCAGGAGAAACCCACCCTGCTGACACCTTGATCTTGGACGTCCAGCCTCCAGAACTAAATGTCTGAGAAAATAAATGTCTGTTGTTTCAGCCCCCAGCCTGTGGTATTTTGTTACAGCAGCTTGAGCGGACTAAGTCACCCCCTCAAGCAGCAGCCTTTCTCTCTGCCCTTCTGAGGGTGGTGCTCAGCCTTCAACAGGCCAACCCAGAAGTCGGGGGAGCGAAGGCCTCCAGGGACACCCCTCAAGCAGCAGCAGACAGGAGTCCAAGGATAAATGCCCCAGCCCCCATTGTCTGAAGGAACAATTCCGAGATGTGGTGCTGTGTCTCCTCAGAAGACCCAGCAGGGTGGAGCCCTGCACCCCAGCACCCCGCTGCGCGTTCATGCAGCCTTCCCTAGCTTTTCTCCTTCACTGCCTGACCTCGGCCCATGTTCTCTCTGTGCTTCCTGGGGTCACTTTCCAAATAAACCACCTGCACACCACCCTTGATTTGGGGTGTGTGCCTTTGCAGGAACCCAAACTTGGTCAAAAGACAAGTTCACGTTAGCGACTCAGTGAGCATCGCCTCCCCTAACAAAGACCTGCAAACAAGATTTACCAACAGAAGACCTGTTCCCAGGAAGCAAAAGGACTGGTTCCCAAATGAACGTCAAGGTGATCCACATTACAGGACTCAAGAGGAAAAACCAATTATGACTCTCAGGTGAGCAAACGGGATCATCTACATAAAGTTTTGGCGTTTCCAGCCGGAAGGGGTCTTGGCTCTGAGTTAACCACAAACTGTGACATCCTACAGACGAGGTACATGTGACTCAAAAGATAGAGACCTAGTCAGTATTGGTGCCCAAAATAGGACCCTCTGACCAACAGCTGGAGCAGCTCTCCCACTGGCATGCCCTCCAAACCAGCTGGGTAAGCCACCCCGCAAGTGCTCTGAGCTACCTGGAAGTTTATTTAGCCATGTGCAGGATGAAGGTAGAGCTGGTGTTGTCCCAAATCTCCCCTCCAGAGGCCCCTTGAGAAAGAATTTATGAGCTGCTGCATCTCTAGTCCCTTCCTTGACATTTATTGGCTTTTTGATGAATGTTAGAGCAATTTTTCTGTCAACAGCTTCTCATTAGGGGTTTGGTGATGGTCTCGCCGACCATTATTTTACTCAATATCATGCCTGGTCATTGTGAAGAGAAGAGGTTCCACTCAGAAACCATCCATCATTCCAGCAGCGAAAAGCTCGGATAATCCCACTTAAATGCTGCTGCGCTGACAGCCGCCCAGGGCACGCACAGAGAATTTAGACAAATGGACAGCCTTTAATGAACGGCTCATCTTTTGGCATCATGCCTCTCCATTCCTTTAAGGACATATTTCAGGCTTCATTCTCTCTGTTTCTTTTTAAAATTAAATTATGGAGAACTTGGTGAAATCACCACTAGGACTAACTTCTTAGAGACGACAGGCTCTCACCATGAGTGACAAGTCTGCCTTGGAGAGTCTGGGACTAGCAGGTGTTGGAAGGAAGCATCCGGTTTTCCTAAGGGACGGTTTTCTTCACCCCTCGAGGGCACTGTCTTAACACAGCTGTGGAACAGGAAAGCCCCTGGAGATGTCTGGAGTTCCTGTCATTCGTTAGCCTCAATGTCAACCTTCATTCGCCCTCCTCCACCTTCCCTACACCAGATACATGACTCTAAACCGGAATGGCATATTCTTTAGGGGGTTTTTATTATGAACAAGATCAAACATATGGAAAAGTCTTGAGAACGTGTGATAAAGTACCATGTTCACAGTACCAGCTTTAATAATTATCAGTGAATAAGTCATCAATTGTCCTGGCCAATCGTGTATCGCCTGCCACTCCCCCCTCCCCATCCCCCAGGCAATTTTGAAATGAATCTCAGAGTGACCTCATTAGAACAAAAGGCACTGCTGAGATGCTCCTGGTGCTCTTACCACCGAGGAAATTACAGGGTCTCAGGAGACCTGAGCCAGGAAGTGGGGGCAGAGGCCAATATCTGTATTTTCTCTTATCTCACAACTCACTCTGTCACCTTGTGTGCCTTTCCCTCCTGTTTCTCTCTCCTATTCCTGCTTCACTTCCCAAAATAAACTACCTGCATGTAAACCTGGGGCTCAGACTCTGCTTTCTGAAGGAACCCAGGTTAGGATCCCAGCCCTGCAGAGGCGCAAAGGCAGTTCAAAAATGACAGCAAAGGGAAGTCCCAGGGTGACAGCTGGGCAGGAGGCTGGAGAGTAGGCAGCCCAGACAGAACTCCTCCTGGAGGCCTCAGGAGGGCGGTGTCCTAGAGATCAGTTTAAACTCAGTAGACATAGACTTGACACTNACAAAACACCACCTAAATCAGTGGTTCTAAACTGGGAGCAATATTGGCCCCAAGAGACAGTTGGCAATCAGCACAGCCATTTTGGATTGTTACAAGTTGGGGGTGGGGGGCATTACTGGCATCCACTGGACAGAGGCCAGGGATGCTGCTGAACATCCAGCCACCCACAGGGCAAATCCACACAACAAAACCTTATCTGGTCCAAAATATTCAATGGCACCGAGACTGAGAAACTAGGATCTAAAGGCTAATGACTCCCAAACCTGTATCTTAAGCTAGTCCCATTGTCGCTCACTGCATAACAAACCACCCACAACTTAGGGGCTCGAAACAGCAGTAATTTTTTTAGCTCATGAGTCTGCAATTGGGTAAGGGCTCAGTTTGGAAAGCTTATCTGTGCGCCACAATGTCTGTGGCCTCAGCTGGGAAGACAGGAAGATGGGGGAGTGACAGCTAGGGGCAGTCATCGGAGGGCTCATGCACTCATGTGACTGGCTGTTGAGACTGCCTCTCAGTGGGGACCTCAGCTGGGACACTGAGCACAGCCTCTCCGTGTGGCTTGGGCTTCCTCAGAGCAAGGCGGCCAGGTTCTCAGGCTGAGTTCCAAGGGACAGAGCCAGAGGGAAGCAGTGTCACCTTTGACCAAGCCTCTAAAGAACTATAGTGTCGCTTCTGCTGTACTCTGTTTGCCTTCGTCCAGTCATTCATTGAATCATTCCGATAAATATTTAGTAGGTTGCCTGCTGTGTGCGAGGCACTCCTCTGGTGCTGGACATACAGACATGAACAGAAAAATGAAATTAAAAATCTCTGCCCTAATCAAGCTTATGTGCCAGCAAAGGCGATAATACAATAAACAAACAAATGTGTAAAACATATAGTCTGTTAAATGGTGAAAGTACAAAGGATAAAAATACAGCCAGAAAGGGGGAGAGTGCTGAGGTTTGATGTGCAATTGGAATAGGGTGGTCATGGAGGACCTCGCTGATGAGGTGACATGTGAGCAGAGACCTGAAGGAGATGAGGACACGTGGGGACAGAGCCTTGCAGGCTGAGGGAACAGCAAGTACAAGGACTGAGGTGACAGCATGCATGGCGTGTTCGGAGCAGCAAAGATGCCAGCGGGGCTGCAGGAGAGGGAGCAAGAGGACAGGGAGGAGAGGCACCTCTCTGCCCGCCGTGTTTCCTGTGCATCTGGAAACCCCTGTTCTAAATCGTAAATTTGAGTTTCAAGAAGCTGGGTTTTGTAGACTCACAGAGTCAAGGCATAATACATGGCAGACCATACAACAGAGGAGACTGCAGAGTGAGGAAGGTGTGCTCCCCCTTTCTGCAGGCCTTGGAAATCGGGGGAGAGGGCTGTGGAGGGCAAGTTACAGTCATACCAGGACCCTGTCTGTCCCTGGACGGCGTTCTCTTTCACTCCCCCTCCTTCTCTGGGACACGGAGCCTACTCTGTCACATCAGACTGAGCTGGTGGCTTCTCTGAACACTTCCCTCCTCTGGAAAGTAGCCACTGCTTTGGTTTGTGGGAGGCGCTGGGCCTCGCTGCTGCTGCTGCTGTGGCGTTTTCGGTTTCATCCCATCAGATGTGGCCGGTGTCCTGTGTTTGGCCCTTGAAAGCAGCAGCTCGAATCTCCTGCCTCGGCAGGGCCAGGAGCTCAGCTCTGGGGAAGGAGCAGGAAGCCACAGAGAGTCCCTCCTCTCCTCACTCCTGAAGAGATCCCATCTGTCCCTGGCAGGAGTGTGGGTATTGGAGACGGGAGAGGTGACGGATGACGCGTTATCTGAGGAAGCAGATAACTGGGCCGAGGTTGTAGGGAAGTCAGGACACCCACTGTCTCAGTAGAGTGAAATGGAGAGGGTGGGGCTTCGGTGGCAGCGGGTCAGAAGGAGAGAGCCTTAACAATCGCCCATGTTTCCTCCCGCAGGTCGCCTTAGAAATGCTTTTTACTGGGGAGCCCATTACTGCTCAGGAGGCCTTGCTCCACGGGCTGCTCAGCAGAGTAGTGCCGGAAGAGCAGCTGGAGGAAGAGACCATGAGAATCGCGAGAAAGATCGCCTCCTTGAGCGGGCCGGTGGTGTCTCTGGGCAAGGCCGCCTTCTACAAGCAGCTGCCCCAAGACCTTAGAACAGCCTACCACCTCACCTCCCAGACCATGGTGGACAACGTGGCTTTGCAGGATGGGCAGGAGGGGATCAAGGCCTTCATTCAAAAGAGAAAACCCATCTGGTCACACTGAGCCGGCCTTATCAGCGGGATGGAGGGCGAGTGAGCCCAGTGGGCAGCACTCAGGACCGCCCCCCCACTCCCTGATGTCTGATTCCCCCAACCACCAATGGGGCCTTGTGACGCTAACAGGAGACAGCCTGCTTCAGTAACTTTAGGATTGGTTTCACTGCCTGAGGTCTGTATTACCAGCTATGAGTCCATGGGGAAAGGATGAAACAGAGAATCACAGGAAATACGAGTTTGAGAGCAGCGAGCACCTTTGCTGGGCCAGCTATGGCAGAAAACCTGGAATTCGATACTCCTTCATGGGACCTTCAGTGAGGGATCACCCTGACATGGGAGAAGGTGACGATAAACTGAGGCGAGAAAGAAGGATGCCAACCTGCCTCTGTTATCAGAAATATCCCCTAAGGTGGAGGTCGTGCTGGTTGCCCAAGACACATGGAGCATTTCAAATCTCCATGCGATATTCTCCACACTGAACATCTTCTTGGTTCTGTTGCAAAATAACCAGGCCTACGGCTTTGGAATCGTCTTATGTCATTTTAAAAGATGATATATTTAGAGAGACTGGTAAGTTTATCTTCCCAACAGNCCAAAAATGGTTCCAGACATTGACAAACATCACCTGGAAGACAAGGGACAATGTCCCCTAGAAGAGGAGGGACAAAGTCACCCCCAGTTGAGAACCACTGTCCGAGATAATTATCTGGACTAGTTAATCTTTGAGTATCAGTTAAAAATGAGGCAGAAACGAGCTTTCAGTCATGCGCTGGGCTATTAATATTAAAAGGCAGCATTAGCTGAGTGCCTCCAGGCACTGCGCTAAGAGCTTCCCCCGTAACCCAGGGCAGCCTGATTCTGTTCTGGACCCGAGCCCACCTCAAAGCAGAACTCAGCACCACCTTCAACTCTCCCCCAGTAGAGCCAATTCTCAGAAAGCTTTAAAGAGAGACGGAAATATTACTGAAAATGTACTGAGGAGACCAAGAAGAGAAGCCTCTCCCTAACATTCACACTTCGACATTTCTGTTCTTGACACTCCAATTTTTTTACCAGGCCTCTGGGTGTGGGGGGCAAACTCTATTGTCTTCAGCTCCAGCTCACCCTCTGACCCGCACAGGCACTGTGTTATTTCTCCAACATTCCCCATCCTGAGACGCTTATCAGAGTCTTCCCCACCCAAACAAGTTTCTTGCCAACGAGGAAGATTTTTCTCCATTTCATGTTTATAGATAAGAATGCCGAGTGACTGTCCCCAAGTCTCACAGCTAATAAGTGATAGAAGCAGGACTCAGGCCCCGGTAACTGAGAATAAACCTCTGTCAGAGCACAGAGATACAGTGCTGAGGGCACACGATGCTTTTATGGGCTCATGAAAATGTCTTTATGTTCATTTCTTTTATAATTAGAAGAATTATATTCTAAAATACAATTTATTTATTTATTTATTTTTTANGTTTAAATTCTACTCAGTTCCAATAGGTTTTTTAGTGTGTCAGAGACTGTCAATCAATGAAGTGCACAGAGTTCCCGCCTTCCCCCCACAGGGAAGTCAGGAGCAGTAGACAGCCGGGGACCCAGCTCCAGTGCTTCCAGCGCTGCTCTACCCAATGGGTTCCAAACTTCACCGAAGAAACTCCACTCTCATCTCTCTTACATTGGACTTCCACATATTGGTTTCAACTGATAAAAGTATCCTGCTCCTTTAAATTTTCTATTAAATGTTTGAAAACCGTTGTGTGTAATGCTCCCTAAAGAACAGTGCCTTAGGCCAAGAAAGAGGAATTACCTACCCAAGAGTCAAATAGCACGTTAATGGCAGATGTAGGATGTATTCGTTTCCTACTGCTACTGTAACAAGTAACCACAAACTTAGTGGCTTGAAACAACTCAGATGTATTGCCTCACAGTTCTGGAGGTCACAAGTCCAAAATGGGCTTCACTGGATTACAATCAAGGTGTTGGCAGGATTGCATTCCTTCTGGAAGTTCTAGGGGAGAACCTGTTTCCTTGCCTTTTCCAGCTTTCAGAGGTCACCCACATTCTTTGGCTTATGACTCCAGCCAGCAATTGAACCACTCCAACCTCTGCTTCCTTAGTCATATCTCTTTCTCTGGCTCTAACCCTCCTCCGCTCTCTTGTAAAGACATTTGTGATTACATTGGGCCCACCTGGGTAATCCAGGAATAGCTTCCCATCTCACAATCCGTAATCACGTATACAAAGTCCCTTTTACCATGTAAGGTAACATATTCACAGGTGTCGGGAATTAGGACGTGGACACCTTTGAGGGGCCACTGTTCTGCTACCACATAGGACCAGAACCCAGGTTTGTTGACGCCCAGCCTGGTATCCCTGCAGAGCCCAGGTTCTCATTGCCCCATCCATCTTCTTGACTCCTCAGAGTTCAAGGTCATCTCTGAGGCCTCAGAGGTAGCAGCTGGGCTGTATAGCAGCAGAGGATTTCCTCTTGAAGTGGTGGTTTACTGTTCTGCACACCGTATATATCCCTGATACTCCATAACTCCCCTATATCACCTAACTCCTCAGAAGGAAGGGCGTTGTCCCTTAGGCTCAGGATGTATCTCCGTGGTTCACTAATGAGGGTTAGAGGATAGACTTCACCAGGAATGGAAATAGCACTGCTGGCCTTCTGTGTTCCTCTTGGGAACCTGAGTGTGGTGGAATGAAGCACCCCGATATTTAAAAGGCCCTGGGAGTACCCCAAGGGCTGGTATCCATGCCCAATGCCCATGTTGATCAGAAACCAGCAAACAAGGGAATCAGGATGAGAAGAGCAGGGAAGAGAGATACAAGCTGAGCTGCTGGCATTGGTAGGTCCGCGTGAGGCCAGGACAAAGGAGGCGGCGCTCACAGAACAGTGACAGGCTGGTACGGCACTGCCCGTCGGCTGAGTCACCATGACCCACAACTCAGCCCCTAAGCCAAGAAGGTCTGACTGAAGAAGGAACAGAAAGGGACTCCGACCAGAAAACACACACCAGGAATCCCATGAGCCTTAGTGAGCTTCCCACTGTGCAAATGATAAAATTCCAAAGGTGGTAGGTACCACTTTTCTGCTACAGCAAGCGGGGGTTCAGGAAGGCTGTCGCCTTAGAGAGGCGGAGCCAGGCGGGAGAAGGGTGACAGAGGGTGTTAACTATGATCCAGGAACCAAACCTCACCCCCCACCCGCCGCTTCCCCAGAGCTGAGTAAACTAACAGGAGTAACCTGCAGCCAAAGGCCAGATTTTTCTGATAGCGTGGAGAGAGTCTCCTGAGAAACCCAGCTGGGAAAGGGTTAATGATAACTACAGATGAATGATGTAGTCTGAAATGCAGACAAATTATCTTCTCCTTATCTAGGAGAGGGATACTAATTAACTGAGCCAGTTCCTCTTTGGTCCAATCTCAGGAGGGAAACTGGCAGGTTCAAAGGGTTGGCTTCATGGGCGTGTGACCAGGCCAGTCCCTCAGCGCCCCACAATCAGAAGGACCTCACATTTGGTTGAATGCTCTGCTGTCAGCATCTCGAACTTCTTCATCATTTTTGAACAAGACACTCCTTGTTTTTGTTTTGCAGTAGGCCCCATGAATCATGTAGCTGGGCCTATAGGTATATCCAACATGTGTTTGCGTAGGACTTAACTTGAAGGAGATGATAAAATGCTCAGGGTCTCAACTTGCCAGGTAGATATCTAATCTATCCATTCAGTCAGACAGAACTCGGCAGGGATTTCTCTCCTGCCCCCCTCCCCCCCCCCCCCCCCCCCACACACACACGCACACACACATGTCCAATCCCGGGCTTCCCCCTTGCACATCTGACCACGCCAAGCTGCAGTTCCATGACATTCCATGACGACCACGCCATCATTTAGAGGTGCTGAAAGGGATGTGATTGCATTTCAGGGAAATGATTTAGTACTTAACTGAGAGGCTCGTATACATTTCTACCATGGCTCCGTGAACTCAGGAGAGCTGAACTTCAAAATGAGTTGGGACATTTGGAATTTAAGCTCTTTAACAGACTCAGCACCATCAGAATAAGATTTGAAAGAGAGAGAGAGAAAAAAGGAAGACAACACTACAAAGAAAGCAGAAGAGTGATTTTCTTACAAGGTGGTTGTGAGGTTTAAGTGGGAGTTCATTAAACAGAGCATCTAGGACATACATATAGAAGCTGCTAAATAAATGAATGTGAGTTCCCTTCTTCTCTTCCAAACTCCTCTTTGTATACTCTTTTTTCCCCCAAGCTTGCCAAGTAAGCTACTGCCTTAAGCTGCACCCGCCCCTCTGTTAACTAGTGGTATAGGCTAAACTGTCTCCTCTTAGAATTCCTATATTGAAGTCCTAACCCACAGTACCTCAGAATGGGACTGTCTTTAGAGATGGGACCTTTGAAGAGGTAATTCAGATAAAATGAGGTTATAGAGGAGGGCCTTAATCCAATACGACTGGTGTCTTTACACCAAGAGGCGATGAGGACACAGACACACAGAGGGAAGACCATGTGAGGACACACGGAGAAGACAGCCATCTACAAGCCCAGGAGAGGGGCCTTAGGAGAAACCACACTTTGACCTGGGACCTTCAGCCTCTAGAACTGTGAGAAAATAAAAACGTCTGTCGTTTACGCCACCAGTCTGTGGTACTGTGTTATGGCTGCCCGAGCAGACCAATACATCTAACATCATCAGAAATATGGTTCTTGGATAGAGGTGAGCCTACGTTGCCAAAATAATGAAAAATCTTTTATCAGGCAATACCTTGAAGAGAGTGGCACTGCTCTTAGGAATCTGGTGACTAGATGCTTTCCATGGTTGTTTGGCCAGGCGTTTCTTCTCCTGGGGGTTCACTGCCTCCTTGTAAATAGAAGCCACCGCACTCTCTCTCCTGCCAGCCCAAAGTACCCAATTATTCACATAGTTCTGGGCCCTGTCCTAACCTCAAGGGAAGACCTATCTTGGCCCTAATACAAGCCCTAAGCAGCAGAGCACACACCGAGTCAGTCTTCTGCCCAAGGTCCAGCACCCAAATTCTAATTAAACTTGTGGTCTAATGGGCTTGACTTGTGTCCCCTAAGAAAGGTGCCAGCCAAGGAGTTGGAAATTGACAATGGTTCTTAACATTGGGCTATTTCTAATTCCTGGCAGAATTATGAGGTGCCATGAAGTTGGGATCAAGGTAGGAAGGACCAGAAGACCTTATTATACCGTTCCTAACCACACTTCCACTAAGTTTTCTCATTGCCACCACTGTGTTAAGCACATCACATACTTTTTTTCTCTCAAGCTAGATTTCAACAACACAAAGGAGCCAGCCTGCATTGAGAAAAGCACGGAGAGTCAGGCCTGTGTTTAGGGTGTTGGGGAAAGAACTTTTCCAGGTGATCTAATGCTTTGTCATTACCGTGTAAATTGCTTTTCTCTGGACACACACCTCTGTACCTAGATTCTCAGATATGTAATGGCTCCTTTCTCCTGGATTCTTTCCCAACATATATTATTGAATAATAATATCATTTTAATTAATTTATTTATACGCTGTCATTATTTACTCAGACATTTTCCACTCTTCTTTTTTCCTTC